AGGGTTGTCAATCCACCTGTCAAGTGTGGCGACTTCTGGCAAGGTTTCCCCTTATTGGAACTACAGGGCTACTATATTCATTGTATGTTTTATGTGTTTTATTACATCTTAGAGCCTTAACACACATAGTGATTACTTGAACTGTCAATAAGCCAGAGGAAGACTTTGTACAAAAGTCGATTGCTTGGGTACCTCTGTCCCATTCGTGTTTCTACCGTAAAGCAGTTGTGTTTGCATGGCTGTGTTTCGGTTTGAAGGGTGGGATATGGCGTGAATTTACAGGGTACAGAGGAATAACACCTAAGTCCTCAGGAATGGCAACGCATGAGGAGTATCATGGGCGAAACAGTATACTCTGTTATGTCCATGGTATTGCTCATGTCTATAGGCGACGGTTACCACTTTCCATCAGGTATATAAAAAAAACATACTAAGAAACTCACTTTCACATTTATAATATTAATAAGGAAGTAAATTTAAACTCCCTATCTTATTTCGTTTAGAAGCCAGAAGCCCGGGACAGACAAATGTCGTTAGCATAACAAGTCCCTATTGAACCCTAAAATAGATATCCAATTACTTCGAACATCCATAATTTAAAATTCTGTTCTGAAAAAAGAAAACGGCTTCAATCGTGACAGAATATTAACTAGCAATCCAGCAAATGAACGCTCGTATTTCATAGATACGTTAGATTTAAAATATTTTCTTTCAGAAGGAGATTTGACTTCTCCTTTTTTGAAAATGGCGTGCATATATAAGACGAATTATAGAAATGCAGGAAGCAAAAGATGTATGTAAAAATAGAGGTTTTTGACACCAAGTTTTCTCTGCCTAGCCTTTAAGGGAGTTGGCGTGAAGATAGTAGATAGATATGAAAGCAACATGTTGCTCACCTGATGGTGAGTGATCACCGTAACAGAAGATATGTCTGAGATGTCTGAGTTTTAAAAATATATATACTCTCTTCTTGAAGGATCCTAAGTCGTAACTGTTCGGAAATATCACAAGATTTTGGTTTGAAATAAGTAGTTTATTATTTTTATAAACCGTACTAGTATTATAAAATTAAAAATGAGTTTGTTTGTCACCTTCTAGTGCCCTAACAGCTTAACTCAGAGCTGTCCAAACCATGGCCCGCAGGCCATATGCAGCCCGCGACTTGAATTGATGCGACCCTCCAAACCTTTTTTTAGTTACTACCAATATTGATGTTGATATTGATAGAATTGTAAAAGATAAATTAATGGAAAAGTAATTCAATAACAAATTAAGGATATTATACCTGCCTTTTATTTTTACAAATGTTTACGCCTACTAGCGTTATTTATTACGTTATTTATACTACGTTTATTAGCTCTAGATCCTATATAGCTTGGACAGCTTTGGCTTAACCAATCGCTATGAAATTTGGTAATACATGTACAGTGTATGTTATGAAGAATGATATAGTCAAAATGTTTATCTCGGTTAGTAAACATATTGCAATCATGCGAACGAAGTCGCAAGTAAAAGCTATTCACAAACAAATAAATTGTACGAATTGACAACCTCCTTGTGTTGGGAGCTGCTTTAAAAATTGGAAAACATTCGTTGAAATAAATAGTAGTTTGCATTGCACATGTCTGTGACAAATAGAGTTCAACTAAGCAACAACGTTCCCGCTGATAGGTAGCGATCGGTTGAGATGCTCGAAGCGCTTCAAGCGGACTCAAGCGATAAGCTTCAGCTGTGACATCTCTAAATTGAGCTGTCGGCTGATGCACCAGGACGGTTCTATCTTCGCTCGATTGTCGGATCCAATATAATGTCAGATACGATATTATATTGCAAGATTAATAAGAAATAAAACTGAGTTATACTAGACTAGAGTTTGACGTAAATAAATATACTTAAGACTATAATCTCTGTTGGGGTAACTAGAGGTACTTTTAAAATTGTGGAGAACGGAATACTCTAACGGAATTATAACAGTGGACGCCATGTTATATGATTATTAACATACATACAAATTTACTGGTCAAAATGATTTGCTATTCAGTATCGTAGCTCAAAATACACTAACGTGACAATGAATGAATGAATGAATGAATGAATGAATGAGTGAACGAGTGAATGAGTGAATGAATGAATGAATGAGTGAATGAATGAATGAATGAATGAGTATACTTTATTTGCATTATACAATATAGGTAATAAACAAGACAATTAATAAATATAACGATACAATTGTATAAGTACAGTAAGAGTGTCTTATTTTTTTTTTATACAACTTAGAATGACAAACAAGCTGACGGCCCACCTGATCAAAAGTGGTAACCGTCACCTATAGACGTGTGCAGTACCATGGACATAATAGAGTATACTGTTTCGGCCATGATACCCCCCTTGCGTTACCATTGCTGAGGACTCTGGTGTTATTCCTCTATACTCTGTAGATTTCACTGCCATATCCCACCCTTCGAACTGAAACACAGCTGTGTAAACACAACTGCTTCACGGTAGAAACATGAATGGGACAGAAGTACGTAAGCAAACGACTTTTGTACAAAGTCGCCCTCTGGTAAATTGGTAAATCCTTATTGCTTTATTATATATCACTCACTGGTGTTCCGCCAGCGTATTCCGATGGCACAGGCAGAGTTAACATTCTATTTTAATTCCATTAAAAAAAAACTTGCAAAACTACAAATTAAGGTACATCCCTAGACCACGAGTCACGCTCTCATATTATGGCTTTACATATTTTAATTCTGTTAAATAAAAAAAAAACGTTCAAATTTAGAATCACAACGTCACGTACACGATAAGGCTGAATTCTCACTTAAGTGCCGGTTTCAGTCCGCTCTCGATCCGCTCTCGGTATGTTCAATATAAACAGTTCAAGATTGATCGAAACGAGACTGAAGTATGGATACATTGGAGTCGATTCTGAGACGCAATTTCTCGAAATCTCTAAAATAAAAAAATCTATTTGATATCACAACAAAATCTTTATTGTCAGGACTAATATAGACTCATTTGCTAACAGATTTAAGTCTAAATTATTTTTTATGCGACTTAGAATGGCAAATAATTATTAACTAAATTATTTTATAATTACATTAAATAATATAATCGTGTAAAATATCAAATCAGTACTTATATAACTCTCTTTATTTGAGAACGATGGTTTGTACTGAAAAACAGCGCTTTAAACGCTGCAGCAATATGCTGAACACGGATCTATTTCATAGAACAATGCGACACACACACACTCGAATACACACTTACAACTACCTGTATACTTTTTTAATAGTAAAATTTAGGCTTCATTTAAAAAGAGAACGGTGGATGCTTTTTAAATCGTGATCTATTAATCTATTTTTTTTTATTAATTAATATTGTTATACTTAATTTTTTATTTATGCTACTGTATGAGTTATATAATTCTTTCTTTCTTTCTTTCACTATAATAGTCTATAAAACAATAATTCCACAAAAGTAAAATATTAAGTTCAGTTTAAAGAAAGCATTTGCTTCTTACATAATTATTAATGTTTTACTAGATCGAGATCGGACCGAAAGTGGTTCGAGAGCGGACCGAGAGCGGTGTTACAGTGAGTATCGGGCCTAACGCGTACACGGTACAGGAACATGACGCGCCACTGTTGTACCATTAGCTAATCCGTACCGTGACGCAGCTGTAGATAGCGTGACGTAACGGCACGCCAATTTGGGGGATCTTGGGAGGGTGTATCTGTAACTTGTGCTTCGAATTCTTCAGTAATACAATAAGACGAATGATTTTAAATGTTATTATTCTTTATAATTTTTCATGCTCGTTTATTCGTGTTCAATTCGGTTGTTTTGTATTTATGTGACATGGGCGAAACAGTATACTCTGTTATGTCCATGGTACTGCTCATGTCTATAGGCGACGGTTACCACTTTCCATCAGGTGGGCCGTCAGCTTGTTTGCCATTCTAAGTTGTATAAAAAAAAATTTACCTCAATACGGAATTACCGTCATTAGTCAGCCAAATCCGGAAAAATATTTTTTGTTTGAAAGGATACTATGCAAAGTAGTTTTATAGAAATTCTATCAAAATCAATTTAGTAGTTTACTTTTTAAAACAAAATAACTGGTTTTGCAGTTCTTTTATTAATTTTTTTTTTTATAAAGCAATATTTTAAATTATTCCTATAATAAATGGATCATAAAAATTGTATGTTTTCCATACTATATATTTGGAACACTATCTATAAATCAGTGTGAAAAGCTCAGTATTAAAAAAAAATTTTTTTACCAACATTTTTTTCTAAGTAAAATGTTTACTTTTTAAAGGAATTGCACATAGCTTCCTTACCTTAATACATGAGGATGGTGAGCAAAGCATGGTTCCTTCATTCTAGTAATCTGCCAGCGTATACCGTTAAAGCAGGCGAGATTGCTATTTCATTATAACTAAAAAAATTACTAATCTATACTTATAATAAATATGTAGAGAGGTCAATTCTGTACATGAAATATATTTCCAAAATAACTATCAGCGGATGATTAGTGATCGATACTGATGACAAAAATGCAATCAGTAAAATTTTTGTCTGTCTATCTGTCTGTATGTTCGTTATAGAAACAAAAACTACTCGATGGATTTTAACGAAACTTGGTACAATTATTCTTCATACTTCTGGGCAGGTTATAGTATACTTTTCATCACGCTACGATCAAAAGGAGCTGAGCAGTGACGGGAAATGTGTCTGTTATATCAAAACCACTGAACCGTGAGGAAGGACATAGACTACTTATTTTACGAAAAACGACGGAAACGCGGATGAAGTCGCGGGCAATAGCTAGTATTATAATAAAGTACAAATTATATATTTTGCCCCTGTTTTATTTTTATATATACATATTTGTCACGCGTCTCCCATTAGGGAAGAAATACACAACATAAAATACACGTTCAATCCCATTACCAAGAGCTCGATAATAGTTTAAACACTAGACAGCTTACCTCCGGACGCGGCGAGCAGGCCTTGCGTGCGCAGCAGCGCTAGCAGCACCAGCGGCAGCAGCGGGCGGCGCCGCATGCCGCGCGACACCGCTGCGCCCGCGCCGCGCCGCCGCTCGCCCCCGCGCTCGCCCTCACCTGTAACATTACACCCTTATTACATGGGGGGGAAAGGGGTTGTTAACAATGGAGTTTGACAGCCCCATTGCTAGCAATATAGCCCTATCAAGTCGACCTCCACGTGGTTCCCCCTGGAAACCATCGTGAAGGATTCTTGTTGAATTCATCACGATGGGCTAACTGGTCTGCTTCATCCTCACCTATCATCTTTCTCTGGTGCCCCGCCGGTGTACACCGATAGCGCAAGTGGGGTTACCATTCCATTATCACTCATAAAAAAAAAATAAAAAAAACCCTTATAACATGAACATTCTTATTATTCCTAGTACTCAGTCATATATAACACACCAGGTTTATAGAATGGAATAAAATAGTATAGAAATCATCTTTATTCATCATTATCATCATCTCAACCCCCACTAGACCCCCCATTAGATGGAGTGACGACCCTTTTTTTATACAACTTAGAATGGCAAACAAGCTGACGGCCCACCTGATGGAAAGTGGTAACCGTCGCCTATAGACATGAGCTGTACCATGGACATAACAGAGTATACTGTTTCGCCCATGATACCCCCCACCTGAAATCCATCGCAGGGAGCCATGCATGCAGGAGCTCAGGACCGTTCTTTAGGGCAGTCAACGAAGGAGACTTATGGAGCTGCAGTGGACGGATAAATAGCTGAAGATGATCATCTTAGCCATTATCCATCCACTGCTGAATATAAGTGTCCCCCGTTGACTGCCATAAAAAAGGGTCCTAAGCCACTTACATTCACTGCCTCCCTTCATCTTTGTTAAAATAGACTTATACCAGAGGGAGACTTTGTACAAAAGTCGTTTGCTTGGCTACCTCTGTCCCATTCGTATTTCAACCGTATAGCAGTTGTGTTTGCATGGCTTTGAAGGGTGGGATATGGCGTAAATTTACTGGGTACAGAGAAATAACATCTGAGTCTTCAGGAATGACAACGCATGGGGGGTATCATGGGCCAAAGAGTATACTCTGTTATATCCATGATACTGCTCATGTCGCAACGGTTACCACTTTCCATCAGGTGGACCGTCAGCTTGTTGGCCATTCTAAGTTGTGTAAAAAAAAACTTAATTCCTGATTCAATTAATTTATTTCATGAGTGCAGTACAAAATTTTCATTGATTTTAAATTAGATTGATATTGATATTGATATTAAACTCAAGAGTGGACCTGCTGCTCTGCGGTGAACACGATCGGACCAGAAATACTGGCCGGTGATAAAAAACCGAAAATAGGCGATCATTGTTGGCGGTTGCTCGTTCGGAAAAAGCTATTTTCACCACTCCCCCAAATCATATTCCGTGAATTCTCTCTTTGATAATGCTCACTCAATAATTTACTAAGAACCGCTCGAAAGTATTTACAGGTAAGTAAGTGGGTATATTTTTTTATGTTTTCCAATTTCCTTTTTGCGTTGGATCCTTAGTGACGTGATCGTTTGGAACTACAATATCGACTTTCAATAAAAGCCTATTATAAGGAACGCAAGTTAAACAAGGAAAAAATAAACAAGGCCCGGTGCCTCGATGGAAAATGTAAAATATGCTTACGATTATAATCCGTAATGGGGTAGTCAGGGGGGTAAGGGGTTGTTAGTAATGCGGACTACCAATCCCATTGCTTATTGGACCTCGACGTGTTCCAACCTGGAAACCATCGTACTGAATTCTAAATACAATTCATCATGATGGGCTAACTAACCCTGGGACTTTTTACTGAAATAATAACCATTTCAGAAAAAGGTCTACCCGTGAATGAAATTTCATAAAAATCTGTTAAGACATTTAATTACAACTTAAAAATAGCTCCACATATATCGTGGCCTATAATTACGATAAAAGTACGAAGTACATGGCCTATCTGAGTAAACCACATGTATTAAAAAAAATAATCATCAAAATAGGTCCACAATTAGCAAAGGTATCGCGTTATATTTACACAAAAAACAGTAGATGGATTGAATGCTTTGGATATAGCTTAAAATAACAAACAACTAGCTTTAACCAGCGACTTCAATTGATTTTTTATGAAATTAAAAATGGCAAACAAGCTGACGCCCCATCTGATAGAAAGTGGTAATCGTCGCCTATAGACATGAGCAGTACCACGGACATAACAGAATATACTGTTTCGTCCACGATACCCCCCATGCGTTGCCATTTCTGAGGACTCGGGTGTTATTCCTCTGTACCTTGTAAATTCACTGACATATCCCACCCTACAAATCGAAACACAGCCATGCCAATATAACTGCTTCACGGTAGAAACACGAATAGGACAGAGGTGGCCAAGCAAACGACTTTTGTACAAAGTCTTGGATATAAGAGATGGAGAAAGAGGATTCCATATATAATATGTTTATAACTAATTTCATAGTAACTGGTTAAGCAGTTAAGGCGCTATAAGGTAACAAACAAACTCATTTTCACATTTATAATATTAGTAAGGAGAATTTACATGTATGCAAAAATGAAATGGCAATATTCCAGAATTGTAAGAATCAATCTCGTTCGATAGAAGTTTCTCGTATTCGATACCTTACGTTGTTTGTAATTGAATTGTCAGTTTATGGGGCCCAAGTGGACACTACTGGCGACCCCTAGTGGCGGTGTAAGTGATAAGCGAACAGTGATTGGTCATACTTAAATTGAGATAGATCAAAAGTAACTACATGCCTTCACAGAGACAGTTGCTATGTGTCTAGGAGAATAAATTTATTTTATTTAATTGTTTGTTTGCTTCCTTATAGCACCTTGATGGCTTAACCAATCACTGAAATTTGTAAACATATGTATAACTGTAAACATATTTCAGTCACGTGGATGAAGTCTCATGTAGAAGCTAGTATTACAGAAATCAGATTTGTTAATTATTGTGCATACTCAACTGGTTCGATGAGTTTTCATAAAAGATCTTTAAGCTCTAAATAACATTCTCAAACCATACTTCATCAGATATTGATTAGTATTAAACAAGTTTTTGATTAATGATAATAGATGGCGTTATAAGAATGTATACCGTTTTGTTTTCCTTACCTTTATTTATATTCTGTTATTATGTACTTTTTTTTTGATGGGTGAAAATGGTATGGTAACCCCGCCTATAATAACAATAATTTTGAAGAATTGTCATATACATAAAAACCTACAAACAACCAAGATATTTACAAAAATATAGAACGGGTACAGAGGGATAACACCTGAGTCTTCAGGAATGGCAACGCATGGGGGATATCATGAGCGAAACAGTATACTCTGTTATGTCCATGGTACTATTCATGTCTATGGGCGACGGTTACTATTTTCCATCAGGTAGGCCATCAGCTTGTTTGCCATTCTAAATTGCATAAAAAAAATATTATAATCAAATGTGACAGAGTATTAACAAAAATAAAGGGCCGCAGTTTCTTGGGACTTCTATTTTTCTCTCTTTTTGGTTACAGTTGGTTTAATTAATTGGATAAACTACGAAACTATACTTCTATAAATAAACCTATTCTGTAAAATCTTTAATAAAAAAATTAAGACCCTTATTATATTTTTCATTTAAAATGACATGCGACAGCAGTGAAGAGATATGTTGAATATATTTCAAAATATCCCTTCAATGCAGTCACTTGTAACTTAGACCAACATCCGCTAAGCGACCCTCCGCCAAAAATCACCTTTAGATAAAGAAAAAAGATTTTGGAAAGGTCTCAGTTATTTCCCGTGTGATTTTCTTGACCATTTTATAAATATGCAGATAGATTTGCACTATTGATCGAGGGATGGGCAGCAGCGTTCCTCTTAAAACATCACTCAAACCTAACGGCGGGTTGCCAACCCGTCTGCCAAGCATGGCAACTATTGCAAACCCCCCTCCCTTTCTCCTTATATTCAGCAGTGGACATTTAAATGCTGACATCATGATATATATGTACATATAGATTTCCATCCACCATTTAGAAATATTCTATAAGTATTTCAATGATTTTTCTACTTTCGAAAACAAATGTACATACATACGAAGTAATCGGCAAAAAGCTAATGAGGTGAACTTTTTTTTAGTTCCGTTCCAGTCTGTTTCTTTGGAAATCCGTTCAGTTTTACTGGTAAATACTCACTTAAATGGTTACCAACAATTTCGTTGTCAGCCTGTACACGCTGCGCCCAGTTATCCCCCACTTCCCTGGATAGGGTGTTCCCATTGTCGCTTAATGAATGGCCCCGCGTCGACCACCCGTTTCTCTGACAGTTCATTTCGATAAGAAAAGCTGAGATATTGAGGGCGCGATACTGATTGTTTCAAATAATATCAGGGCATTGAGGTCATTCCACTTAAATGCTCACGCTCAATGATGGGAAAAGATTTTCCATTCGGTAATACTTTATAATATGAAGCAACTGTGATTAGATATGTATTTCGCTTTGAATTTTCAGATATGACATGATTTTTTTATGCAACTTAGAATGGCAAACAAGCTGACGGCCCACTTGATGCAAAGTAGTAACAGTCGCCTATAGACATGACATAACAGAGTATACTGTTACGCCCATGATACCTTCCATACTTTGCCATTCCTGAGGACTTAGGTGTTATTCCTCTGTACCCTGTAAATTCACTGCCATATCCCACCCTTCAAACCGAAACACAGCCATGCAAACACAACTGCTTCACGGTTGAAACACGAATGCGACAGAGGTGGCTAAGGAAATAAATTACTGAGGCATTACATCATAGTCCTCAGGAATAGTAATACATGAGAGGTACTATTCGTGTTTCTGCCAAGAATCAATTGTTTGTATGGCTGTGTTACGGTTTGAAGAGTGGAATACGGCAGTGAATTTACAGGATATAGAGGTATAACAGCGTAGGGCTCAGGAATAGAAACACATGAAGAATATCATGAGCGGCATAGTATACTCTGTTATATCCATGGTACTGTTCCTGTCTAGAGGCGACAGTTACCACTTTTTACTAGGTAAGTCATCAACTTGTT